TGATCATCTCTTATCGAGGGATCTGCTTTCCTCAATCCGCTAGGGCTGTTATTGGACTGGGACTTCCTAAGGTCGCAGTCAGTGACTTGTGTTTGCTTGCCATTGTGGGCTCCCTGCGTACTTATGACACTTTTATGCGTGGCACATGGAGCTGAAGGTACATTTTTGCCATTTAATCTCACCCCAGACCCAGTATGACGGTCACTTTGTGCCTGATGTGCGAGTCTTGACTGTGCTAGCGCATACTGCGCCTTGAAGAGCATTCACCATTGTTTGTCCTTTCTTTGGTTGTTAGTCTTTAGACGCCTGTTCCCATACCAAAATCTTTACATACTTTGGGATTCACCTCATCAGACTGGCACTGTCCTTGGCATGATTTCGAATGAGACGTTTCTCTCTTTTCTCCCATATTCTCCTGTTACTCTTTCGCATTCATCGCTTGCATTCACTTTTTATGTTTGTGACCATGCTCTTCAAAAATAAATGATAAAAATATGGGAGAACCCAGATGTGCTGTTTGTGTGAGTTATACAGACCAGTTTGTTTCCTTTTTCTATGATATCAAAACTTCGCTAATTGAATCACTTTAACGTTGAACTGACACTAGAATTCATACCTACACTCCTGAATAGTCGAATGTACCAAACTCACAAGGAACTGGCTATCTTTAGACTAATATTCATTTGTCGGACTGTCACTCATTCAGTCAAATATATAACCGTCAATCATAATGTGAAACCATTGTGCTCCCAAAGTGCGCCATCTCTAACACCAATCAATAAACGCAGGAAGTGAATTTCAAGTAGGGTTTGATCTCAGACGCGTCTTATGCGCATCGACGGATTGCGTAGGCCATATCCGAGTTAGGTTTGTTTTACGAAAGGAGCTATTTCAGAAATTGAATTAGCTACAAAGACCGGGGTACTGCACAGACCAGAGAAAACGAAGCTTTACTTGGACGAGAAAGCGAGGAAAGCGAAGTCAGATGTATCTACGAAGAATCTACCCACTTTCATTGCTAACGAACGAGTTGCCAGCTAAGCGGACTCTGATGGGAATGGAGTCATACGAACTAGTCAACAATAGGCAAACGAATATTGTTGCTTGCGGACAAATTGGCTTATCCTGAGGGCGGTAACATAGCCGTGACTATTGACAGAGAAATGCGCGAACCCAGCAACCATTAGTTCCGGGCTTTTACTGACAACGTGCATTATGGCACGACCCCCTGCTGCAGTCCTACGGATGGGGAACGTTTGGAGCAGTTGAACGAATACACTTATATCGCATTCGTAATACGACAGCAAAAGGACACTTACGAGCACGTCAATATTAATTTCTATTTGGATAGAAATTTCGCCCACGTCTATACCAAAATATCTTTCGCCTGTCTGGGTTAGACGCAATAAATAGCTAACCTAGCGATCAACCTTTGTGTACAAAATCGAAGTTACAATTAGGTGGATGACTGCTAAAGTTTTTTGTTTGTCATTCATAGATTAGTCCACGCAACACACTTGTGAAAAAAAATCGTCCAGCTGTAACACCCTTTCAGTGCCTCACTACCATATCGCCAGAAGGGAGCACGAGTGCTGGGGTAGTGCCAGATTGCCCAAGTCTAGACAGGGGAAGTCCAGAGTCGGAGGTCGGGTTCGAACCATGGACCTTGGGATCAGTAAATTCGCGCTCTAACCACTTGGGCCATCTCGCCTTCCTTCTGGAAAACTACACAAGCCTTATGTTCGATGTGCATCCTTTCTGTGTTATCAAATTACTGTTCCAATGCGATTCACCACCTCACTGGAGTATAGTTATTATATAAGGGTGGAATTTCCGATTAGCTGTTTAGGATGTGTGACCATCACATAAGATCACATAAAGATACTTAGGTTGTTGTTAGCAACAGATCGGGTGAATGAATTAGAGCAACCGAATGCAGTCTTCCCATCTGCCGAACCTGTTTTGTAAATTCGCCTCTAACCACTTGGGCCATCTCGCCTTCCTTCTGGAAAACTACACAAGCCTTATGTTCGATGTGCATCCTTTCTGTGTTATCAAATTACTGTTCCAATGCGATTCACCACCTCACTGGAGTATAGTTATTATATAAGGGTGGAATTTCCGATTAGCTGTTTAGGATGTGTGACCATCACATAAGATCACATAAAGATACTTAGGTTGTTGTTAGCAACAGATCGGGTGAATGAATTAGAGCAACCGAATGCAGTCTTCCCATCTGCCGAACCTGTTTTCTAACGGTTATTCGCTCATTGTTGTCTCCTGATCACCACTGTCCGATGCTTCTCAGAATCTTTATGAATGGGGAGATTGCAAGAAACAGAAATATGGAAGCAAAGTCCTGGAAACTTCATTTAAATGTGCACAAAGTATGTGGTCCTCAAATGAGTTTGTTCACGGTTGAAAATTGTGTTGGATCACAGCACGATTTACGGAGCAAAAAAGTTGTTTTCAGAGAAGTGTACAAGTTATTAATGATGCTATCTTACTGTGATTCGTGTGTCATTGTCGTCGATCGACTTTACCCACATCAAGTTGGTCGTTGGGATGAATTTGGATTCAGATGAGGTAAGTTTCGACTAGTGTGATATAACCACGGTATCAACCACCAAGGATTTCGAGTTGTGTAACGTGGCTCACCAAGGAATTAAAGCGGCGTCGAAATCAAAAATAGTAAGTTTGGTAAAAGCTAGCGATAGTATTCAAAATTGTCATGCTCTTGAAAATACTCATTGATCAGGTCTGTGGAGAAACGGCATTATGTTGTTGTAATACACTACTCATGAGGTTGCTGAAAACACGTCGACAGCCCACGACCGGTTTCGCCCTTCCAGTTCGGGGTCATCAGGTAGGCGCAATCCCCGAGTTAGTGAATATAGACTTATTTGAAGACTAATTTGGTTTTTCGAGAGACTCACCTGGAACCCATCTGAATCTCTTGGTTGTGATGTTTCCAGGCGAACCGGGCGAAACCGGGTGCCTAGGAGTTTTCAGCAACTTTATGAGTCGTGCAATGAAAATATATATGTATCACGATATCTCGAATATCGTAGCGGCTGAAACATGAGGCGGCCTGGTGCAGCAAATTCACTTGCCTGGAAATATCGAAACCAAGAGATTTAGCTGGGTTCCAGGTGAGTCTCACGAAAATTCAAATTGGTTTGCAAACGGGAATTATGTTGTCTTTTTGAATACCTGAGACGGATGTGGCTCTAACAATCATATGCACATAAGCGAAGTGAGGACTGCTCGTTTTAAATGGAATCCATCGTGGTTTCAAATGCTGCGTCTACATAAGTTTAACGAATGCTACTGAGCAGTCGCCCATCGTGCAGGCTCTGACATAATCTGATGATAACGGATTGGTCAAACGGACTGGTCTAACTAAACACAGGTGGGTTTCCAGGTGATCCATTCTGCATGTTGGAAAGATCGAATGAGGGGACAAAAGCAACCAGATTACCAAATAGGAGCAAACAAGATACACGCACCCGTGCGACTTAGTATTACCACATGTCCACGCTCAGGATCCGTTA